TACTTGGTTGTGCCGTTCAGTGTATGCTGTTCCTACCTGCATCTTACACCCTGCCACTATGTGTTGGACTGCCTCTGAGGCTTCTTTGTACAATCTGCACCTTGGGTCCTATCTAGTGTGGTAGACCTCTGCTTCTTTGGATCTGGTGCTTAGTGCCTGTTCTTGTGCTGCTATGTTCAGTGCCTCAGTGCTGTCTTTTAATCTAGCCCTTTCCAGCCTCTGGTAGGATTCCCAGTGTCAGCCACCTCAGCTATCTGTTGATGGTACATCCCATGCAGGGGCTTGTCTTGCCTTGGCACTTCCTCCACTTGAACTTTTTCCCATGTCTGCTGCTGCCTCAGGCATTCTCTCAGCAACTCATCTTTGCGTGCCATCTTATTGATGTACTCCTGGAAGTTCTGGGTTTCATCCAGGACAGTGGCTTTGACACTCACCAGACCTTGCCCGCCCTCTTTCCGGCTGGTGTAGAGTCTCTGGGTGTTGGAGTTGGGGTGGAAACCTCCGTACATTGTGAGGAGCTTTTGGGTCTTCACGTCGGCTGCCTTCATGTCCTCCTTTGGCCAGCTCACTATACCAGCAGGGTATCTGATGACTGACAGGGCATATGTGTTGATGGCATGGACCTTGTGCTTCCCATTGAGCTAGCTCTTCAGGACCTGTCTTATCCTTTGGTGGTACTTTGATGTTGCTCTCTTCCTTGCCTCCTCATCGTGGTTCCCATGTGACTGAGGGATACCAAGGTACTTGTAGCTGGTCTCTATGTCTGCTATATGACCCACTGGTAGTTCCACCCCATCAGCTTTAACTACCTTCCCTCTCTTTACAACCATCCAGCTACACTTCTCCAATCCAAACGACATCCCAGTGTCCTCACTGTAGATCCATGTCAGGTGGATCAGTGAGTTGATGTCTCATTCACTCTTAGCATACAGCTTGATGTCATCCATACAGAGGAGGTGGTTGATGATAATTTCACTCTTGAACTTGTACCCGTATCCAGTCCTTGTGATTATCTGGCTGAAAGGGTTCAAGCCTATGCAGAACAGCAGCAGAGACAATGCATTAACTTGGTATATGCCACACTTGATGGTCACTTGTGCGAGCTGTCTTGAATTAACTTCCAGTGTTGTCTTCCATAGTCCCATTGAGTTCTTGAGGAAAGTCCTTAGTGTCCTGTTGACTTTGTATAGTGCTAGGCATTCACAGATCCATGTACTGAGTTGTAGGCTTTCCTGTAGTCAATCCAGGCTGTGCTCAGATTGGTCTGCCTAGATCTTGAGTCTCAGGCGACTGCTCTATCTATGAGGAACTGGTGTTTTCCGCCTCTGGTGTTGTTCCCAGTGCCCTTCTGAGCTGTGCTCATGTATTGGCCCATGTGTTTCTGCAGCTTGGCGGCTATGATGGCTGATAGGACTTTCCATGTTGTGGGGAGGCAGGTTATTGGCCGGTAGTTGGACGATACTGTTCCCTTATGGGGGTCTTTCATGATCAGCACTGTCCTTCCTTGTGTTAGCCAGTCTGGGTGGGAGCCTGCTACTAGCAGCTGGTTCAATTGTGGTGCTAGGCGTTCATGCACAGCTGTTAGTTTTTTTAGCCAGTAGGTATGGATCATGTCTGGGCCAGGTGCTGTCCAGCTCTTCAAGTTCTTGACCCATTGTTGGATGTCTGCTACTGTGGGAGTGACTGGTTCCTGTTCTGGGAGATTGCTGTGGTCTGCTTTCAGGTCCTGCAGCCACTTTGCAGTGGTGTTGGTGGCTCTGCTGTTACTGTGTTGTTGCACTGCAGTTGGGAGAACACCTTGGATGGTTCTTTGGAGAACAGGGCATTTGTCTTCTTGGCCTCTGCTTCTCTAGTGTATCTCCTTAGCCTGGCAACCAGTGCTGTGAGCCTTTGTTTAGCAGTCTCTAGGGCTTCAGATGGAGCCAAGTATCTCCAGGATTACAGCATCTGTAGCGTATATCAGTTTATTGGTTTGAGTTATGGTGGTAATAGGGATTGTTGTGAGGGCTCTTTTGGCATCTTCTAGCATACTATCTGATGGCACTTCTCCATTGAGCCTTGGTAATTGATCTTGAGGGTTGACTGTAGCTAGTTTATCCATGATCTTATGCCTCATATCAGCTGCTGTGCTCTTTAATGGAGGGTGTAACAGTGATGATCCCGCTTCAGGTGTTGGCTGCACATCCAGTTGTTCTTCCAGGTCTTCTTGAGTCCGAGATATAATGTGGAGTCGGTCTATCTCAAGTTGTGAGAGTAGCTTCCTCTTCACTGTTGAAGCATTGGGTAACTAGCTGTTTCTCAGTTAGTGTGGATGTAGGTCTTCTGTCCAGCCATAGTTCCCTCATACGTTTCATATATCCCCTCTCATTAGGTCTACTGTTGTAATAGCATTCCATTAATTCCAGGTTCTCTTGTCTCGTCCATGTATGGTTTGTTCCAGTAGCCCACTTATTGTCAGATTGTCCTGGTTCCCCAACATCTGACACGGACTGTAATAGCATTCCATTAATTCCAGGTTCTCTTGTCTCGTCCATGTATGGTTTGTTCCAGTAGCCCACTTATTGTCAGATTGTCCTGGTTCCCCAACATCTGACACGGACCTTGTTAATCTGGGCGACATCCAAGCTGGCATGACTCTCTTAGTTCATGTCACTCTCATATTTGAGGTAGGCAGGTGAAGCATTAAGGGGTCTTTGCACAAGGACTCCTACTGGTAAGGTAGGTACCAGTCGGGATTTGAACTCTGGTCTCCCATGTCAAGGGCAGTGCCCTAACCACTACACTATCCAGCCACTTCATTCATATATGTATATACAGTGTGTGTGTGTGTGTGTGTGGTAGTGTTTGTGTGTGTATCATGGAGTTGCCAGCTTTGTGCGTTCAATTCTGATTTATCATAAAGTTTAATTTATATTGTCCTCAGTTGTTGCATGGCATTGGTTGTGATGTGATGTTCCTATTTATTTCCCTGACAATATTTTATATGTAATGCTAGATACATATAATTATGGATAAAATGTATTCACACATAGTAGCATAAAACTCTCACAATTAATCATAGGGCTTTATAAAAACAATGATAGAGATAGCATCTTTGAAAGTTTTGCAATCTAAAATTTGATACAGGAAAAATAGCAGAAAAGGGCAGGAAGTAGACTGTACAATGATTCCAGCATTATGTGTAAAGGCATAAATATAATAGAATGTGAGAATTTAGGAAATTAGGACATATAATGAATAATTACTGTGACATGGTTTAATGTGATTTACATCATCAGAAGTAGAAGCTGACATAGTGGTCCCTCCCCTCCCTCCTTGTATTCTGTATCTGATATTCCAGTCTTTCACTATGGAATTCCCCTTGCTAATAAATTTGTTAATTCTGCAAATTTATATGGCCAGCCCATGCTAATCAATAACTCTGCACAGCTAATGATGCATTAAAAACAAAAATATACATAAAAAAACAATAGAAAACAATTAAAAATACCAGGTAAAAATAATCAACTGCTCAATCATAACAGGGCAAAAGCACAAACTGGGCTCCCATTAATGTCCTGACCTTAAAGCCTGAGGGAAGAGCCAGGTTTTTAAGACATTCTGAAAAGCCAACAGAATCTGAATCTCAAGGCATAAGGCAGTGTTGTCCAAACTTGGCCACTTTAAGATGAGTGGACTTCAACTCCCAGAATTCCCCAGCCAAGTCCACTCATCTTAAAGTGGCCAGGTTTGGACAACACTGGCATAAGGACTTGCAGAAATTATTGTTGTGATTACAGGCCTCTCTTAATCAGAAAAATAACACCCCCAAATTGAAGGCTGCTAGTGGGTTGATATTGCATTTGGCTTCTTAGTTAGGTAGGTGCCACCAAATTGGGCCTGAACTATGGTAACTAAATAGACAAATAGCCACCATCTCAACCTGTTCCTGGCAAAACAGACATAGCAGTTCTAAGGACATTGCGGTGATCTCCTTGATCCTGTCCATCTACCTTATTTGTTGCCTTCCTTTTCTACTTTCTTCAACCTTACTAAGCATCAGAGGTTTTTTTCCTAGTCCATTATATGCTCACTTCTCATGCTCAAAGAATGTAAGTTTCTGTTTCTGTTTTGACCCAAGGGAACAGTCAATCTTTATTTCATGGTTCTTCTTGCAGTTCATGGTAGTCTTAATAAGCATCTCCAGATCCACAATTTAAAGACAACTTTTTTTTCTCTCTCACTTATTTTCAGCGCCCAGCTTTCACAGCTATACATTACCACT